CAGCAGGAAGCAAGAGAGTGGGTAGGACAAGGGTCAAGGGTAGAGGTACCCCTAGGGAATGAGATTCTTATCAGAAGAGAATGTTGGTTAAAATGGTTAAGTAGCAGCATTCTATCTAGGGACTTGGTAAGTGCTCAGTAAATGTTTATATTGAAAATGTGAAATTTTCAAAATGTTTGAAGTTGTATTTCTTAAATAAAACAGAAATAATGTTTTCATATTAATTTCTCTTTCAGATGAAATGAAAACCTTTGCAGGACAACAGATTGAACCTCTTTTTCAGTTTTCATGGCTTATAGTATTTCTGACCCTGCTCCTTTGTGGAGGGCTTGGTTTATTGTTTGCTTTTACGATTGACCCAAATCTTGGAATAGCGGTGTCATTGAGCATCTTGGCTCTCTTATATATATTTTTTAGTAAGTCTTTGCCTTTTGTCTTTTTCAAAAATGTACAGAATGTCAAAACTCACTGTTTTACTTAAAATTGTATCTATATCTTTCTCCTAAAGTCTGTAAGAGGTTTTCATAATTAGGTGAGAAAATTGATTTTTTGCTATTTTGTAAGTTGGCCTAGAGGAACATTGTCCTCAGCCTGGCTGGTACAGCTTTAAAAACGAGTGCACTAGTTGTTAATATTGAAGCAGAACTTTTATTTATTATACTTTCCCTTTTATATGTTAATTAATGATTTATATTTAAATCTTTTTTTGAAAATAAGTTTTTATAGCTGTCATGACATGCTCTTGATCATTTTGACCATGACTGTAATTTTCATTTTATCTAAAAGCAAAGTAATAAATATATATAATCCCTGTTCTCACGAGTGTCTTCAGTTGCAAGAAAGGAAATAGATTTACCTTTGGAGGAACTACTGGTAACTTCCGCATTTGCAAGTAGTGATAAAACCAGTCTTTATGTTTGAATCTGAACTAAGGGTTATGTTTCTGTTTAAGGCATTATCTTTCTGATTGTGTTTCTTATGTCATATTTTAGTCAGCTTACTTTGCATTTTTCACATACCTGATGTATGTTGGGGGAGGTTAATTAATTGAGGAATTCTTTGAGGAGTAGTTAGGAAATGGAATGGGACCATGAAAATTATGTAAGTCTACCTGTTACTACTTGATACTTGACTGTTTGGAGAAAAGAGGCTGCTTGACTAATGATTGTTCTGGATAATTTTGTTTTAAACTGTGAATTTCAGTTGTCGTTTACTTTGGTGGACGAAGGGAAGGAGAGAATTGGAATTGGGCCTGGGTCCTCAGTACTAGATTGGCAAGACATATTGGGTATTTGGAGCTCCTCCTCAAATTGATGTTTGTGAATCCGCCTGAATTGCCAGAGCAAACCACTAAAGCTTTACCTGTGAGGTGAGTTGGTCCCTTTGACAGAAGTAACTTTTAATAAGATGAAGCAAGTAAAAGTTTATAATGCATCATTTCTCAATGTATATTCCAAAAAAACATTGGTCCCTTAAACTTTTTAATGTGAGAAGTAAAGCAAACAAATACTCCCTGGTCAGATCTGTGTGGGAAACACTTCATATTATAGCTCCCTCTTGTACATTAAAGGATCAGAGACACCTTTTCATAAAGAAATCAATTTAACTTCGATTTACCAAATTTTATTTGAGCATAAACCCATGTTCCCCCCTTATGACACCTGTTACCATCCTTTGGACAAATTTGAAAAGAGTGCTGGTCTATTTGAGAAGAGTGAAAGGAGTCTTGGCATCTGTTTACATCAGGGTGTAACTTTGGCAACTCAGCTTGTGCTCTAAGCTGCTCTTTCCTCACCTGTGGAAATATATTTACCCACTCCTCTAAAATTATTTTTAATACCAAATAGGAAATGTATGAGAAAACAGTTTACAAAAGATGAGAAACATGTAAGTCAAAGAGTAAAGGAAAGCTAGAGGGCTCCAGAGGAAAGTAAAATGAAAAAAAAAAAAAAATTTAGAGAATTGAAAGCAAAAGGAATTCAATAGAAATTAGTAAAATAATTAGTAATAATTAAATATGCACTAAAAGATTAAGAATTTAAAAATTATTATAAGATAAAATATGTTTAAGTTAAGCTGAAAGTAAATAGGCCAAACCAGATAAGACATCAAAACTATAATATAAGAGAGGAAGATAAAAATAAAAGCTTACAAGTAATTGACATATAGGAGTATTAAGAAAAGGATTTAAAATGAGAAGTTAAAATGAAAAGTGTAAAAAGAAAACATGCAGAGTGTAATAAAAGAATTGGAGAAGATATTTTTATATAAAATAGAAACACTTTAAATTAATGAGATGGTATTCTTTTAAAAAATTAGAACAATTAAAATAGCATGCATATACGTAGTACAATGTGATCCTAGATTGTATTTTGAAAGCATTGCCTATCTACAGGATTGAGATGAGAGTTTAGTTTAGGGGTAGAAGGGAAGAAAGGAACTAATGCAGAAATAATATCCATTCAGAGACTCAAAATACAAATAATTCAGTTACTTTGCAGAGCAACTGTGAAATGAATATTTTATAGCTTCTTTCTAAATCCCTGGTAGATGTTTAAGCTATAAATAAAACATTCTAAAGCTTGAGTTTTTAAATGGCATTCAATTCTTAATATTTTCTCAAGGTTTTAATCTCTTCAGTTGGTGCTTAGAAAACTTTCTTCATAGCATTTTTTGGCTGATATGGGGTGTCACCTTTTTTTTTTTTTTTTTTGCGGTACGTGGGCCTCTCACTGTTGTGGCCTCTCCTGTTGCAGAGCACGGGCTTGGGACGCGCAGGCTCAGTGGCCATGGCTCACGGGCCCAGCCGCTCCGCGGCATGTGGGATCTTCCCAGACCGCGGCACGAACCCGTGTCCCCTGCATTGGCAGGTGGACTCTCAACCACTGCGCCACCAGGGAAGCCCTGGGGTGTCACCTTTTAATCATTTTAATCGTTGTATCATGAGATCTGTTGAGATGTCTGATTCCTTGGCTAAGCTGTCATAATCTTTTTCCCTTTCTGCCTTTAGTCAGAATTACTTCATATAAGTCTACCACATTTAACTTTTGTTATTGCCTTTTCCTGAGAAAAGTATATAAGATGTTAGAAATGGAAGATACGTAATTACAGGTTGTTTTCCCTCCTTAGAATTTAAAAAAAAACATTTTGAAAGAGACAAGAAGAAATACAGTCTAAATAATAGAGATAACATATGTTGAAACTGTTTCTTTAGATAGCTGAGTAACATTTTCTTTCCCCTTTCCCCAAGGTTTTTGTTTACAGATTATAATAGGTTGTCCAGTGTAGGTGGAGAAACATCAATGGCTGAAATGATTGCCACCCTCTCGGATGCTTGTGAAAGAGAGTTTGGCTTTTTGGCAACCAGGCTTTTCCGAGTATTCAAGACTGAAGATACGCAGGGTAGGACCTCCTTCTCTTTGTGTGTATGTAGGGCTTGAGGATGGGATGGATGCAATGCATGAAAACATGAATCGAACATCAGATTTGTCATATGCTGTCACCATAATGATTGAGATTTTCTGGATGCTTGACATGTTAAAACCATTTGTTGTATTACAGGTAAAAACAAATGGAAAAAAACGTGTTGTCTCCCATCTTTTGTCATCTTCCTTTTTATCTTTGGCTGCATTATTGCTGGAATTACTCTTCTGGCTATATTCAGAGTGGACCCAAAGCATCTGACAGTGAATGCCATCCTCATATCAGTTGCGTCGATAGTGGGATTGGCCTTTGTGCTGAATTGTCGTACATGGTGGCAGGTGCTGGACTCTCTCCTGAATTCTCAAAGAAAACGCCTCCATAATGCTGCCTCCAAACTGCACAAATTGAAAAGTGAAGGATTCATGAAAGTAAGCACTCACTGCTTAGCAAATAATCCTGGGAGTTTCCTGGTGGTCCGGTGGTTAAGGACTCCACGCTTTCACTGCTGAGGGCCGGAGTTCAATCCCTGGTCGGGGGGAACTAAGATCCCACAAGCCGTGCAGAAAATAATCCTAATGTGAATATGCTCCCCATGACCATGGGGCTTTAGGGAGTGTATTCTCTAAGTGTTAATTTTGTTTTTAGTTGCATTTGTTTTTAGTTTTATTCTAGATTTTTCCTATGAAAATACATATGTGAAGTGGGAAAAATTACAAAAATAATGTATTTTTATAAAACACTTTTATAAGATACTCAAAAAGTTGCAGATTATTCCACAGTTGGTAATTACTACCTAATAATACGGGTTGCTCTAGAGCCTGGTAGAGTAAGCAGATTGAACCACCAAAACATATAAGATAGGAACATACTTTTAGAACAGAAAAGGGCTTTATACAGTTATCTGCAGCCCCTTAATTTGATCAAGGTCACATGCCATCAGGGGGTCAAATGTAGTGTGGCATTTAGATTATTTGGATTTTCATTCAAATATGTCTTCTGACATTCAGAGCATGTGATCTCAGCAAGTAAGTCACTCAACCAAGTCTGTCCTTTTAAAATGGATATGATAGTGTCTACCTTATTGTAATAAATGCTCTAATTTAGGTGAAGCACTTGCTACAATTTTAAGTGGAACCACAACTGGCAGTGAGGACTTTGGATTTCTTTTCTTCCTTTAGCTGACTTTCTGTCAAGCTTTTTAAGAAATGTGCTTAACTTTCTCAGATTTCAGTGCTTTGTATCCTTTCTTTTGCACAGGTTCTTAAGTGTGAAGTGGAATTGATGGCCCGGATGGCAAAAACCATTGACAGCTTCACTCAGAATCAGACAAGGCTGGTGGTTATCATCGACGGGCTGGATGCCTGTGAGCAGGACAGAGTACTCCAGATGCTGGACACCGTATGTCTGAACCAACTTGAAACTTGTCATTGTCACATATGTGGCAGCTGAGAGGAGTCGCTTCATGAGTATCTCAAGTGGAGTTTGAATAATACTTCTTTTGTAAAAACAACGATGCTTTATGCAGAAACATAGCAAGAGTAAAAGTTTCATCACAAGCAGATTGAAACAATTCTAGCTTAACGGCAGTGAGAGGAAAAAAGTGAATAGAGGGTCTCTAAAGTCCATAGTGTGACTCAAGCTTTTCTTTGCAGATAGTTATGGTTGGAATAGAGTTAAGGGTAGGGAAACCACAGAATTTGTAGAGTTCTGTTAAAGTAGGGCATGTCAGTGGCTCTCTGTAAGGTACGTTATAAACAGCAGTGTGTAACTGTGGTCGGAGACCAATGTGGTTAGTACGTCATATATATTCATGAATATTTCTCATGTGTGTTGATCTTACCTCTTATGCAGACCATAAGTGTCTCGAAATACGACAGGATTAATTGTTTTCTTTGGAGATTTTATCACTGTCAAATGTTGAAAAATTGTCAGATGGTGACAGACCAGATTGAGACTTTGGTAAAATTTGTTTTCATATAGAATAATACTTGAACAAAAAAGAAATGTTATTTTAAAAATGTAGTCACCAAAGGACAACACAGATTTTGAAGAGGTGTTTTATTACTTTGGATAATTAAAAATTTTTATCTTATCATAACTATACATATCTTCTACCACAGGTCCGAGTTCTGTTTTCAAAAGGCCCATTCATTGCTATTTTTGCAAGTGATCCACATATTATAATAAAGGCAATTAACCAGAACCTCAACAGCGTGCTTCGTGACTCAAACATCAATGGACATGACTATATGCGCAACATAGTTCATCTGCCTGTTTTCCTCAATAGTCGTGGACTAAGCAGTGCAAGAAAATTTCTTGTAACTTCAACAGCTAATGGAGATATTCCGTGCCCGGAAAATACAGGTAGAGATCGAGTTCCTCAGCTGCTCTGGGCTGGAGTAGTTCTGTAGCTTTTTACGTGCATCTCCTTTTACCTTGAAAAGTACTGTTCATATTTCACTACTCTAAATATCACATACAGCAGAGTTTTCATACAATGGTGCTTTCTTGATAAATTCTTTAAGGGTTGCAGGAAGATGCTGACAGGAGAGTTTCACAAAACAGCCTTGGAGAGATGACAAAACTTGGTAGTAAGACGGCCCTTAATAGACGGGTAAGTTACCTTATGTCTTGAGCCATTTGTTTGTATTGCTATTATTTAAATAAAACCAAGATGGTGCCATGTAATATTTTATAAATACTGCGTTGAGCTCATCAAGTAAATTTTATCATTGGATTTCCTTTCAGCTTCAGGTGGTTTTTCAAGGAATGTCTGAACCTAGAGCCATAATAACTGTAAATTATATAGGAGTGCCTGTCCTCTCCCAGCCTGCTCTCAGCCCAGGTGCCACTCCAGATTCCGGACCAATTGAATCAGAACCTCTGAGGGTGAGATTTTAAAGCTCCCCAGATGATTTCATCGAGGGTTAGAGAACCACTGGGTTCATTCCAGGTCAAGTTGTGTTCATTCCAGGGACCCATGTCACCATAGCTGTAAGGGAGAGAGAGGCGCGCAGTGTGAGAACAATTCCTTGCTTTGTTTTCCTGTTGGCCTTCCTCCTTCCCCGATGTTTGTGAGATGTGTACTCTTTTTTTTTCTCCCCACATAGTGATTTCGTGCCCTTCCCAGTCCCTTGGTTTTCTCCTGGAACACTAGTTTCCCTGTCCTACCCTATCTTTAGGAGCCTTCTTTTGTAAAGAATAAGGGAGTATTACACGGCAGGAAGATGTCCACTTGCAGGTAAGTTACGGTGATAGTGCTGCTTAAGGATGGCTACGTTGGGCTAGCATTAGCGCCATTTATTCCCCCCCTCTAGTTTGCTAACATTAAATTGGGACATTTTACATTTTAAAAAATGTGTCTTCAGTGATATTTTGACTTTATGCCTCTACCATGTACAAGTATGGATGTGAAAATAATATTATGAATGACAGTTGACAGCTCTAAATTAAGAGCTGGGTGTAATTTACAGTTTTGAATTTCTCTCCTATGAGTCTGGACTCTTGGGTTCCCTGTAATTGTATCCACATTCCCCTGTCTCATGACCTTAGATGAGAACGCACCTTTGTTGTGCCTGTTCCTCCTCTGATTAGATGGGATTCCCTACCCGACCCCACCCAGGAGAGAGCCTTTAATTCTTATGCAGATGTGAGGATAGTTAGAGCAGCTGTGTCATACGTTTAAAAATAACCTAAAAATCAAAGTGCTGAAACCTTAAATCTAGATGAGGGGTTATTTGCTTTATTATTTCAGGGTTCCTATAAATACTGAGCTCCCATAAGAGTTTGGGTTGAATTTTCTTTACACAGTTCTGCTTATTTATGATCTTCAAGGCATCGAGCTTTCTCTGTACAACTATACATCAAAATACATCTGAAGCTAAACCATAGCATTTGATGCAGTTGCTGCTAATATTACTTTATAACTGTTCTGTAAATATTCTGCCTCAGGAAGTAATAATAATACCTTTTATTACTATATAGTCTTCCTCTTTGACTAAAATTTTGGATTGTTTTTGTTGTTGACATAAACATATATTAACTTCTCAAAAAGCCTTACGTTCTTAGGCTCGAAGTATGGGTTCACTGTTTCAGGATACTTACCGAAGAAGACAGATGCAGCGCACGATTACTCGGCAGATGTCCTTTGATCTTACAAAACTGCTGGTTACAGAGGACTGGTTCAGTGACATAAGTCCTCAGACCATGAGAAGATTACTTAATATTGTTTCTGTGACAGGTGAATTTTGTTTTCTTACTGTTGTATGGTAGATAATAAGGTTTAACATTAGCAAAGCAATTCAGTTTCAGAAACAAAAGGATGTACTGGGTTTATATGTTTACACTGCTGAATACCAGTTTTATTCGCATTAAGTGTGTCTAATAAAACCAATATTAGCTTTGACAATGACAATCAACTACCAGTTAGTTGTCTACTGTTATTTTAAAACTCGATGACTTAAAAATTTTTAAATTTCATCTCAGCTTTAATTTTTCTTTTTGTAGAAACATAATTTTATGCTAATTTATATAACTGAGTATAATTAATTTATAATTTAAAATGTTGAAATTTAGATTTTACATGCTGCTCTGTTTTCAAATGATATATATTTTTTCTTTTCTTATTGTGTTAAATGAAATACACATACAAATTTATCACCTTAACCATTTTTAAGGGTATAGTCCCCATAGTTGTGCAGCCGTCACTACCATTCATCTCCGTCACTCTTCATCTTGTAAACCTGGAACTCTGTTCTCATCCTCCTGCTCCTCTCCCCCCAGCCCCTGGCAGCCACCACTATACTTTGTCTCTATGATTTTGGCTACTCTGAATACCTCATATAGTTGGAATCATACAATATTTGTCTTTCTGTGACTGGCTTATTTCATTTAGCACAATTTTATCAAGGTTCACCCATGTTGTAGCATATTTCAGAATTGTCTTCCTTTTTAAGGCTAATATTCTACTGTATGTATATACCAAGTTTTGCTTATCCATTCATCTGTCAATGGACATGTGGGTTGCTTCCATGTTTTTAGCTGTTGTGAATAATGCTGCTATAACACGGGTGTTCAAATATGTTTTGGAGACAGTGCTTTCAATTCTTTTTTGGTATATACCAAGAAGTGGAATTGCTGGGTCATATGGTATTTCTATTTTAAATTTTTGAGGGAACCTCCGTACTTTTTCCATAGTAAAAAAAGAAGTTTTTCCCACCAACAGTAAACAAGCAGTTTTTCTACATCCTCATCAACCTTGTTGTTTTCTGGTGTTTTGATAATAGCTATCCCAGTGGGTGTGAGGTGGTATCCCATTGTAGTTTTGACTTGCATTTCCCTAATGATTAGTGATGTTGAGCATTTTTTCATGTGCTTATTGGCCATTAATATATCTTCTTTGGAGAAATGTCTGTTCAAGTCCTTTGCCAATTTTTGAGTCGGACTTTTTTTGCTGCTGTTGTTGTTGAGTTTTAGGAGTTCTCTGTGTATTCTGGTTATTAATCCCTTTTCAGATATATCATTTTCAAATATTTTCTCCCATTCTGTGGGTTGCCTTTTTATTCTGCAGATAGTTTCTTTTGATATAAAAATTTAAAAATTTTTTATTAAGTTCAGTTTGTCTATTTTTTTCTTCTGTTACCTGTGCTTTTGGTGTCACGTCAAGAAATCATTGCCAAATCTAATATCATGAAGTTTTTATCCTGTGTTTTCTAATGCTTTAAGTCTTAAATTTAGGTCCTTGATCCATTTTGAGTTAATTTTTGTATATGGTGTTAGGTAAGTTCAACTTCATTATTTTGCATATGGGTATCCAGTTTTCCAAGCATCATTTATTGAAAAGACTGTCCTTTCCCCATTGAATGGTCTTGGCACCCTTGTCAAAAATCGTCTGATCATATATGTGAGGATTTATTTCTGGGTTCACTATTCTGTTCTGTTGGTCTGTATGTCTGCATTTTGCCAGTATCACAGTGTTTTGATTACTGTAACTTTGTAGTAAGTTTTGAAATCAGAAAGCGTGATTCCTCCAGTTTTGTTCTTCTTTTTCAGGGATGTTTTAGTTATTCAGGGTCCCTTGAGACTCCATGTGAATTTTAGGATGGGTTTTTCTATTTCTGCAGAAAATGTCATTGGGATTTTGACAGGGTTACATTGAATCTGTAGATTGCTTTGGCTAGTACTGACATTTTAACAATATTAAGTCTTCCAATCCATGAATTTAGGATGTCTTAATTAGCTTATACTTTAAAATGTTGAAATTCAGATTTTCTATTCGTTGCGGAGCACAGGCTCCGGATGCGCAGGCTCAGTGGCCCTGGCTCACGGGCCCAGCTGCTCCACGGCATGTGGGATCTTCCCAGACCGGGGCACGAACGTGTGTCCCCTGCATCGGCAGGCGGACTCTCAGCCACTGCGCCACCAGGGAAGCCCTCTATACTTCTATTTTAGTTTTCAACTGATATTTTAAATAAAAATATTGACAAGAAAATTAAGGATTATTGCCTTGTGACTGAATTCCTTGCATGGAATTCTGCTCTCCACCATGTTAATGCTTATAAATATAAATATTTGTAAAATATATATTTCTTTCTTTGCATGATATTGAATGGTACTTTGTAATATTGACCAGTGTCAACTCTCTTATGATAGTTACACTGAAATTTGTTTTTATACTAATGTTGGGTGCATGCTATGGAACTATATTGCAACTGAGGTTGTATCAAGTATGTTCATAATTTTTTGATAACTAAATTCCTTTAAGTGAGGTCACAGACCTCATTATACTTGATTATGTTCTACAATGGAAATGTTTTAGTATATTATCAATAATACTTATGTAGTCATTTAACAAATATATAATGAGTGTCTAGATATGCTAGGTATTGGTCTAAGCATTGTGGAGATAAGCAGTGAACAAGATAAAATTCTTACCCTTTGGGGGAAAACAGAAAGATGTAAAGTCATGTAATGATAAATGCCATAAAACCTCACCTTCCCTTACCATTTAGCATTGGAATGCCCTTGGTTCAGTCCTTGGTTCTTCTCTTTCTGTCTAAACCAGATGTACCATCTTTATGCTGAAGGCTCTCAAGTACATATCTTCAGCCCTGTTGCTCTCCACTTGCCTAATTGAGGTCTGATGATGTCTGATATACGTCTTACACTTAACATGTCCAAAAATGAACTTTAGATCCTGTGACAAACTTAATCCACCCATAGTTTACCTTCTGAGTTAATGCAACTCTTATTCCATTTCCTTGGGGAAAAAAAAGGGCTTGATATCTTTCTTTCATATACCTTCTCCAGTCTGCATTAAATTCTTTTGCTCTGTCTTCAGACTCTATCCAGAATCTGACCACTTCTTCCCATTTCTAGCATACTACCCTTATTCAACGCACCATTACGTCTCATCTGTATTAGTTATAGCAATAGCCTTCTGACAGGTCTCCCTGCTCCTATCTTTTCTCTACAGTCTATTCTCCATGTGGCAGCCACAGAGATCCTTTAAAAATAGAAGCCAATCATGCTGTGCTTCTGCTAAAAGCTCTATTATGTGCCCCAATTTTACTGAAAATAAAAATCTAAGTCCTTACAGTTTCTTACAAGCCTGTTTGATCTCTCTCTCTCCACCCCTTTCCCTA